CCTTCCTCCTTCATTCCCCTCAGCTCTTGGGGCTGCCTTGTTTGTCACTGTTGGTCCATGAAGGTCTGGTGCCTCTGAGTATAGGCAGAGTTCCACTTGCAGGTTTTCTAAAAGGACAGTGGATAAAATGTCCCTGAGCATGTGTACGGTGTCTTTATTCCTTTAAGGGAAATGCTGCTTACCTTGGACTGGCGTGTCGAAAGCATGCTATGAAATCTGGAGTCTGGCACCACATCCTGAGCTTGGTTACAAATGGGTCCGAGGCGGCCATCAGTGGGCCAGAGATGCCATTGTGAAGGAGGCGGCCGAGGTGGCCTCTTGGGGGAGTGACTACTGTCATTCAGTACACTGAATACTTAATACACAGAGCACTGGGTGGCAAAGGTTTGCAGGCTCACAGTGAAAACAGATTTGGTGAAAAACAATGCCTCTTACTCAGATCCTGTCCTCGCTCTTCTTTTTCGGAAGGCGGGGTTTTCTGTCTCCTCTTCCATCACCGCAGACTTTGGCAAAAGAGGGAAAGGACGAAGAACTGGTTCCTGCGGGGTGGTTGTGGGCCCATGAGATACTCTCCACCTGGTCCCTAATTCCTCTCCATAATGGTCCATAATGGTGTTCACCCTGGTGACTAAGATTTGGGGAGGTGCTGGGGCTTCCCTGGAGCAAACAGACTTCCTCTTGTGCCCAATTTGCTGCTGGAATGGTGCTGACCATGTGTGTGCATACATGTCTGGGGGAGGAGGGAGTATGTGCAAATGTTTGTAGTCTCACTCCTGCCTACATCCAGCATACAGCCCTTGTTTAGATAGTTAGCGACCAGGGAATGTGAGTCAATAAAGTTCCCCTCGCCTTTTGACTTTAGATTGAAAGAAAATCCAAAAGGAAACTCCCCCATCGCCACACTGCCCTCCTTTCAAACACTAATGTGGATTAGACATTAGAGGAAGCTTAGGGTGGTGCCGAGGACACTGACTGTCTTGCCACTCTTTAGAGCTTTTCAGGTATCTTCATTTTTCCTATGAATTTCAGAAGCACCCCAAGTATTGCTTGTCCTCCCAGGCTGATGCAAGGTCATTTAATGCCTGAGGTGGTGGACCCAAGTGAAAAAATAACCAAGAGTTGTGTTTATGACTAACGGACAGGTTACAACAAAAAGTGCCGTGTATACACAGTCCCCCACTAAGGGGGGAAGAAATCAATCAATCGAACAAAGAATTAAAAAACAAACACATTTTATATATCTGAGAAAGTGGGTTGTGTGTTCAAAATTCATGCTGTTGTAAACCTGTTAGTTAAAAAGACAGCATGTATCTTTGCTATTAACCTGTAACAGACTAACGACACCTCTGGAGACCCAAAGGATGAGACCCCTCCCATTCCTGCACAAAGTAAAGTTGGAAAACTTTATTTTATAGTTTGGAAAAGTGGCCACACAGGTTCTGGAACAGAGGCACCTTCTGCTGGGAAGTTCTGCAAGGGCAGCCCTCTTGGAAATTACTGAGATTTCAGCTTAGGCAATGCCCATGGTAGTGTCCTCAATTCACTGACTTTGCAAGTGGATCCCTGCCACGGCAACCTTTTGTTTTTCTGCCTGTTTTCAAGAACTTGTAACATGACTCATCTGGACTTTACCCTTCAGTTCTGAAATGTTAGCTGCATACAACACTTTTCCCAGTTAGGCTTGGCTGAGCAAAGAACTGCGGTACAGGCAGCCAGAAAAAGGAGAAAGACTTGCGTAACAGACATGAGGATAGTCAACATTTCTTCCCAGGCACAGTGCCAACATAAATCTTTGTTATCGTAGATGGTTCTTAATTTGAACAGAATTCCAGTGGATGCAGAATCTGTGATCAGAATGGGTCAAACATTGTAGAGTTACAAAACAGGTGTTCTAGGCATACCTGGGAATGTACCTGGAGGTTTTGTGAGTGGGTGAGAAGATTCTTCCATGAGATCTGTAAAAGCACAAAAATATTGCAAGCTTGCTTGCTCACTTGATCTCTTCCCTCTTCTCCTGCAATTGTACAACTGCTGAGAAATGTTTTGTTTATTCTTTAAAGTCCCACAAACTGGCCATGGCCAGCAATGCAGTGATCTGCATGAACTGTGCAGAAAACCCCAAACAGCAAAAATTTATCTGCATCAGATCACCTAATCTTGGCAATGGGTTTGTTGACTCATCTACGAAACAGGAGCACCCTCTGCTGGGAGCATGTTACACTTTGGCTGATATGAGTTCCACTGGTGTTGGATAACTGGATCAGCCAACAATGAACCAACGGCACCCTGCCTAATAAGTAAATCCAGCCACCTTTGCTTCTCCTGCCCTAGATTAAAACCAGGCATTAGAAACCTTTATTCCTGCAGATGTTTGTCTCCCACTTCCATCAGCCACAACCAGCATAACCAATAGCCAAGATTGATGGGGGCTGGAGTGTGACATCTGTAGAGCCACAAATTCCTTATGCTTACTTTGAAGAAACCCCTGCTGTAGGTCTCCCTTTATAGCTGTATCACACTATTAACTGTGTAGGTATCCTTCAGTCTTGAGAGACTATGTTCTCTATGTCCTGACTCAGAAGTCAATATTCAAAATAAACCACCACCACCTTGAACAGAACTTTGTTACACATCTAAAAACATAAAAATGCAATCAATACGTGGCTGCAAATATGTATTTTACAGCACACATGAGAATGGTTACAGCTTCTTGTTGACAATGGCCTGAATCCAACTGGTAGCCCTAACTAGAACAGACCTTACTTAGGCATCCTTCAGTCTCAAGAGACTACGGCAACGTGCTCTCAATAGAGGTCTTGGAACAGCGTCTAGCGTGGTTGAGAAGGCCAATTTGAGAGTGACAATCCCTTCCAATCTGTCCCCTGTCCAGCTCCTTGATTTGGCTGGTTTCGGGACTGCTTCTTTGTCTCAGCCTGCTGGACAAGGGTCTCTTCAAATTGGGAGAGGTCGTGATGCAACGCCTGCCTCCAGGCTGAACGCTCAGATGTCAGGGTTTCCCATCTGTTGAGGTCTATTCCTAAGGACTTCAGATCCCGCTTGCAGATATCCTTGTATCGCAGCTGTGGTCTCCCTCTGGGGCACTTTCCCTGCACTCATTCTCCATACTGATCTTCTGGAATCTGACCATCAGGTGATGCCAAAAATGCATCAGGAACAACGCATATGGAAGGTGTTCAGCTTGCTCTCCTGCCATGCACAAAGGGTCCAGGACTCACTGCAGTACAGGAGTGTACTCAGGACAAAGGCTCTATAGACCTAGATCTTGGTATATGCCATCAGCTTCTTACTAAGCCATACTCTTTTGGTCTAGAGAACATGGTGGCTGCTCTGCCAATGCATTTATCCAGTTTGACATCTAGAGAGAGTCAGAGATCGTTGAGCTGAGGTATATGAAATCAAGAACATCCTCCAACTTTTGTATCTGTCAATTCTTGTCTCAATGTCTGTAACACACCTGGAAAGATGTCTGAAATGTGTGTGGGAGATGCTTTTGCATTTTGTGCTTTGGGTTTCTGAGGAAAGAAAGGCCTAGCAAAGCAAACACAGAGGATTAGACACACACACTGGGTTTCTGAGTAGACGTAGACGTCGCTGTTTCAGTAATGTATACATGCTAACAATTCCAGCTCGTTTCAGGACTACACTATTTGGAACTTTGTCCTTCATGGTGATGCCAAAAATGCATCAGGAACAACGCATATGGAAGGTGTTCAGCTTGCTCTCCTGCCATGCACAAAGGGTCCAGGACTCACTGCAGTACAGGATTGTGCTCAGGACACAGGCTCTATAGAACAGACCTGTAAGTATTGATATTTATGAACATGCAATAGCAGCCTCAATTAACACATAAACAGTCAGTAACTGATTATGTCTATTCTAAACAGGGTTAGCAACTGTATCAGTCTCGATTCCTCATTGCATAGCTAGACAGGTAGAAATATAGGATTTCCCACTGGTGATTTTGAATACTGTATCAGATATTACTGATAAAGCAACTAGGTATGGAGTAGGAATGATCAATCTTGACTGTGTCTCCCTATTACTGCTATTTGAATTACAAAAATAAGACACGTTAAATGCATTTCTTTAGTCCACTTATCTTGGCCCTCTGTGGCCAACCAAGGTATTTTGTCACCTTTGAGTGTAGAAACTGGGCCTACATTTTCAAGCAAAGCAACACAGAGACACATTTCAGAAGGCAGGAATGGTAAAGGACTAAAGCTACCTGTTCCTTGAGCAGTATGGTTAATTGCTCCTTCCTTAAGGATACAGTTTGCTCATTTTTCCTGTGGCATCCGAGTAACAGGAGTCACTGGGGTTCTGCCTGAGTTAGACTGGTCCTGTGGACAACTGGAAATGGCATGTTGCTCACAACTGTCCTCACAGATTCAGGACCTTCCCTTTGGCCATGCTGATGTTGCAGGAGAAAATTTTAGCTATGGTAACTTGGTATGGCAAGTACACTGTCATATGCTGAGCATTCATTGTGCATACAAAGCAAACAATATGGCTTCAGTGCTACCTTTAGCTCGAGATCTAAAGCATATGGCTGTTAATTAGTAGTCCATTTTGTTAACTGCTGAATGAGCTCACAGTAGCAGATACGTTTTATAAATGTATTAAAACTCATACCCTTGTACGTACTTGGGTATTTACAGCCACTGCCTGGCAGCTGGTGTTACTCAACAAATATTTTAAGTGAAATACAGTACCAATTATTTTGCTTTTTTAGTCTCATTTGTTAGCTCTTTCACCTTTTTTTAATAATCTGATCCCAAAGGAAACAGAATTTCAAAATTGACAGGAGGGAGTCATAAAGCCAGTCTAGTTATGATTTCAGGATATCCATATCAACGGTATAACAAATTAAATAAGTCGATATAGTACATAATTTGCAAGGGGGCCTGACTCTTTGTGAACATCTGAGCTGTAATGCCACTCAAGCACTCACAAAAAAAATGACACTGGAGCCAAACAACTGTTTTTAATTTTTAACTTTTTTCCTTAAAGATGACTTTTCCAATTTACATTAAGACAGTTCTAACAAATTCATTCCTTGTTCACAAAAGAGAAATTATATTAAATAATTTCTGCCAATAAATAACATTTTCACCATTCTTTTTTTAAAACATAACTAAAAAAAAAGAGAGAGAGCGCGCAAGAAAATAAAGGAGGCAGTCTCCAGGCAATGGGCAAACATGACTTCAGAATCAAGAACCTCAGTCCTCACCACACACTTCCTGGGGGTGCAATTCCACCTTGACTGGGATGAGCAAAGCTGGTGGGGGGCTCCCAAGCTGGCAGCAGAATTGAGCTATTTCGGGAAGAGGTGAGTGGTGTGTGGCACCATGTTGGGGTAGGTTCTCTTCAAGGAGGTGAAAGCACCTTTGTTCCTGAAGTTTGGAAGACCCATTGTGGACTCCCCTCCTTGTTACATGCATCTTGCTTTTCTTCATGCAAGATTAGTAATAATAATAAAAAAATTTAACGGCTGCTTAAGAGGCAACCTCACAGTTAAGAGGGCAGTGCACAGTCTTTAATACTTGGGTATCCCAAGTGTTGGTGGGCTGTTTCTTGGCCATTTTATATATATATTTTTTTTGCCGATGTCATTACTCAAGATTGTCTCTGGAATTAAAACACAAATGCACACGTACCCACACACACATACACCAATGGGATAGAATGGGTGGAAAAAGGAGTCAAGACGAAACCCCTTCAGGCACTCACAGCTCCAAGACAAATTTATGGCTGGTGTTTCAGAAAGTGGGATTGTGCAGACAGCTTTGGTGTATTTCCCTTGCCTTTCTGAATACGGGAAACAGAAAGGGCCACCTGGTATTTTAAGGCTCCACCAACCTCACACAACCCAGCACTGCTGTGTACAGTGTATTTTCCACTTTGCCAACTACAACACAGAGCAACCTATAGGCAATAGCTGTGGTGTAACACTTACGTGGTCAATAGTTGCTCCACTAAGAGCATGAACCTCTGTTAATTCCTGACCAGAGATTATTCCAAGGGCTATAGCATGTGACTCTGGGTGTTTTAAAATATCAAAAGCATCTAAGGAACTGTGTGCTACCTCCCCCTAGCAGCCCATGGGCATAATCTTGAGCCATACATGCATGGCCCCTTAAGGCTTCCCCTATACTGTGGTCAACCTCAGCTTCAAAACTCTGGCTAAGAGGTCATGATATGTTCAGATCTTAGGCCAGAAGTGTTCAAGCGCGGCCCGTCGGATGTTGTCAGACTGCAGCTCTCACCATTTCCCACTGCTGGTGATGCTACTGTTGATGGGACCCCCAGCCCTACAACATCTGGAAGGCCACATACTGTCCACCTCTTGCCTTAGAGAAAATGGCACCAAGTTCATGATGCGCAAGAGCAGCGGTGGCTGGCAGCTTTCTTTCCTGGTTTTCAAAAAAAGAGAACATTGAATACTGGGCACTGGTTTCAATACTGTGCATCAGACAGCTTATTAAGAGGGCAGAGAAGGCAAGGGAAGATAGGAGAGAACAGAGGCCCCAAAAAGGGGAGGACTGAGGCTGCTCCTTCCACTCCAAGGTCTGTCCTTTTCCATGTTTCCCATTTCCAGGGCACTGGGAATTCATTCAGCCTTTCAATGACAAGAAAGTCAGCCAGCTGAAAGCATTTCCCATCTCCCTGCAAACCATGCCTCTGCTCACTCTCCCCCTCCATTTCCCCCAAGAACACCACATACTGTCCTGAGGTGGGAAAAAAGAGGGCCTGGCACCCATGTTTGCTGGGCAACCAGAACTTAGGTCTAACCTGATAGCCATAGAGCTTTACCGTCCTAGTATCCTGCATACAGAGCACCAGAAAGATCCTGGAATGCTCCAGAGCATTTGCCTGTTGATGTGAAGGGTCAACTCCTGCCCCTCCTCTGCACAGCAACTCCGAAGGAGACTGAGCGCTCTCTGAGCATGTGTGTGCATGCTGCATTCCCATTTTATTGACCATCATGACATCCCCTTTCTTCTCTCTAAAAAGCTGATGTAATAAAATGTTTCAGTGGGCATAAGGGGCACCAGTGAATTTATGCTGAGTGGATGAAGCACTCTAGATTAGTGGTTCCCCACATAAGGTAACCCAGGTGTTCTTGGACTGTAATTCCCACAATCCTTCGCCAGCTGCGCTGGCTGGGGTTTCTGGGCTGCAGTCCGAAGAACACCTGGGCTACCCCAAAGCTGGAAACCACAGTTCTAGATCAAGGAAAACCCACTGTGTCTGGAAAACTTTGGTAGCTAAGAAGCAGCCCTGACCTCAGTTGTACTGCTAGATTTAAATAAATAAAAAAAAGCAAAAAGGGGAACAAGGAGACAAAGGAGATGGGTGGCATACCTGGCTTGTCTGCAAGAAAATGTCAATAGCAGGGTATTTCAGGGACCGAATTTCATTTCCCATATAAACCAGCAGGCCATATGCAAAGTTGCCACTGTGTCTAGAAGGCAAAGAAGAGCATGTACATCGTTCCCAAAAACTTTGAAAAGGTGGTGAGTGGGTAAAGTAAGTTGGCCATATCTTCCCCTCTGGAGGTTTAGTATTTGCATGTTTTGTAAATTCACAGGAAAGCACAGCCTCCTGAGTTTTAATAAATTTTCAGGAGCATCCTGAGAACAGTTACGGAGATAATGCAATGTAACAAAAATTTGAACTTATTCCTCTCTGTGTGATCCATGACAGATTGCCCCTCTCAAACTGGAAACCGTCTGGTTGTGGCCTGATTTGCTGCCTGCAGGGAGGCAAATATGTAAAATCTCTCTTGAAAGACAGTGATTCCTACCACTGCTGTTATTTCATGACAGACGATGCCCTAGTTAGCCCTATAACAGAAATTTTTAAGATAGGGGGAACAGCTTAAACATATTCTTCATCTTCAAGACAAACAAATAAATGTTCGTTCTGCCTCAAAATAGCAGTTTCTGTGGAAAGGATGGCTTTAAGAGTGCATAACCTTCAAACTGCATGTTCTCTGAAATGCATGCAAATGTAGTTCTGAAACTCACCCCCCCACCCCAAACATTTTAAGACTTCTACTTCCAAAAAATCCACAGCACTGACCATGCTGTCAGAGCTTCTGAGAATTCAAGACCAAAACATATGAACGACCAAAGACTGAGTAACAGTAAAATCAATGACAAGAGGTGGGAGAGCTGTGACTTCAGTGAATGAAGTAATTTCAAGGGGTGTCTATTTCCAATGATGTGGAAACTGGATTTAAAGAACAAGCCAGCCCCCCAAATCTGGTTTCCAACAAGGCTAGAAAAAAGAAAATCAAGTCAGCTCATCATTCTACATAGGGATTCCATCTTCAGTGCACAACTCATATTTTCATTTGCTCTTCTTTGGCACTTCATAAAGCAATCTTCCTTGCTTCCTTTAAGATCTGAAACAGCTATCCTTTAAAGAGCAAAAACTAGCTACCAACTAGTTGGTACTTCTTCTCCAAAGTCCCCTCTCCTCAGTTCTACAGAGGTTTCCTTTACTTAGGTTTTTAAAAAGGAGAGTTTCTCATAAATGCTTCATAAAGATTTCGCCTTCTACCTTCTTCTTGTAACATCCACAGTGACTTTGACCTTGCAAAGGAAACGTACTGCCTTCCTCAACAGAATGTATTTATCACCAACAATGGCATGCAGAGCTTGTATCAATGAAAATGCGAAGCTGTTATTTAAAGTTCCAACAAAAACTGGTGGGAGTTTTATCAGAAGAAATAAAGGGGAGAACAAAACTTGAAAAGCAAAGTAAATATACCATTTCATGATTCTATAAACTCTAGGGTCTTTTTGGGAGAATTCTATGAGACCTTTATCCGAATTTGATTTCTTACTCATTTGCCCTTCAAACTCCCGGTAAGAGATTCTGCCTGCTTTTTAATATCGCTCTGAAGAAACCGCTGCCGTTTACAGAAGAAATTGAAATGTGCAGGCATAACAAAATAAAGCACATTCACTTTGGCATGCTGAGATTGGCTCTCCCCCTTCTCTGCTGTTATTTTGAAGCTTGCAATAAACATATTTCATGTTACTTAAAGCCCATAGCGGGATTTACAATTCTGAACCAACAAGACAACTGAGATCTTCAGTCAGTACATCCATCCTACCATGCCTTTGTTACTCCTGAAGAAAAAATGTGAGAGAATCCATCCAAGGATTTCTGGATCCATCTCCATTGCATACAGGCATCTGAACCAATCCCTACTCTTTCCACAGAGGGTGTCAAATGGTCTACTCAACTGTTACTTTGAAGAGACTGGAGTTAAAAGCCTTATTTATGAGGGAAAGAACTGAAGCGCCTCCTGCTGGAAAACTTTTTAAAGAGTTGGGCATTTAGCAGTGCCCAACTCTTTAAAGAGTTTTCCAAAACAATTGTATTTCTGTGCCGAAACTGGGTCTCCTGAAGGAAAATCACTGGAGCAGGAGGCACACCTACCCCTAACCTGCAGAGATATATACTGCAGAGATATGTACTGTGCTGAGCAGAAAATGGTGAGACTGGGCCCTTCAAATCCATTGACTTGATGCCACTGTAGGCTGCTTTGAACACAGAAATTCAGACCACCCGTGTTGGCCAAATTGCTAACAACACCAGGGCTGCACAGAAGGTAGTTTTTCCAATTGGTACTGAGGCTGGAGACAGAAACAAATAATGATGGTTGATCTCCTTGGGACAACCCAGAAGCTTTTTACATTCAGCCCATGAGTGGGGGGGGGGGAATCTCTTACAAGCCTGATATTGTTCCTGCAGTCCAGTGGAGACCACCAACTTTACCTGTTCTTCACCTGTGTGCGTTTTCTGCTGTCTACCTGGCAGATACAATGACATCCCAGGCTGTGCATGTGACTGATACACTCCAGACACCACCACCTCCAAAAACGTTCCACCAGCGAACAGAGCTCTAAAAGATATTGCACCTTCTTTGCCCAGACAGAGCTTGGAAAAAAATTACTTTTCTGGATATCTCCCAGAATCCTCCAATGGGCTATCTGGGGATTTCTAGAAGTCGTGATCCAAAAAAAGCAACCTATTCAAATTATGGCAACATTTTATCCACACTATCCATAATTCTAAAACAATGAATGGGGAATAGAGGCAGGCTTCCATACAGGTCAGTCACAGAGATAGTTTGGGCCAGGGTACCCTTCTGGAGTTACCGTAGTGCGGGGTATATGGGAAGGAAAGGTGTGTGCAAAAAAGTAAGGACTCCTATCCCAAAATATTAAAGTCATACAGATTTTTACATTAAGATCACAGCTATGCAACAATCTGCGAAGGTTGCTTGTGTGTGAGAGAAAGAGAAATAAATCTCACCTGTGTGATGTCAATGCATGTCGAAGAGAGTTATGTTTACGGAACAATATAAGCAATATGAAGTCAAGGTAGGGATTGCTTTCAGAGTAATGGAGGTTACAAGGCTACATTTAGCAGCGCCCAACTCTTTAAAGAGTTTTCCAAAACAATTTTATTTCTGTGCCGAAACTGGGTCTCCTGTAGGAAAATCACTGGGAACACGGGGTGGGACAGAGAGAAAAGATTCTCATTCTCCAGGTCCAGAAACTTATTTGGAACGGGATCTATGCAACCCAGCATTTCTTTTGACAGGGGTCCCAAAAAAGGAGATAATTTACTAATTGCCCCGTACAACAACACCTTTAATGGAGGTCAATGGCTGCAGCAGCATCAGATGCAGCAAGAGGAAAAATAGTAAAAGCTGGGAGGAAGTTTTGAATCAAAGATTCCACTTTTTTAAAAACAAGAGGATAATGTGAAATGGTTCCAATAAAAATAACATGCCAAAGTTGCCCTGGGCTGTTACAACACATCCTCCCCTCTACACAGGTTCTTTCCCTGTTTGGCAGGGACAGGTCATCTGTACAGAACAACACTTTATATATGCACTAGTATTTAGAGCCATTTCTAAATTAAAAAAAGAGACTTTTTATATATTGAACATAAAATTTAAAAAACTTACAAAATGGTCACCTCTCTTACAGAATGGATGCAAACTGGATTATGGACGTGTCTCCAGGCTAAGTTGGTTTTGCCCTCCCCCACCCCACCCCACCCCTCACCTCCATAATAAATAAATAGAATTCATTAAGTTTTGGATCCTTTAGTGATACAGACTGGGCGCTTGAACTGTTACTGGGCTTTCTTCCCTGTCCCATTCTTTTCCGCAGAGTTTGTTGAGGTTAAGTTCACCGGCCCATCTGGGTGCTTTGAATCCTTGCGTGGTGGCATGCGCTCGTTAACACGGTCCAGACCCCTGGCTTCTTCAAAGCTGCGGATCTTGTGCTGTGGTGAAAATCCACGGATGGCTAGAGTGGGGTAGAAAGAGGGTGGGATTGGAGACACTGCTGAGCTCGACTGGTACAATGGACACACATACTACACTGCTGCCACGTGGAGTTGTGGTTATGAAGCATGTGTCTGACTTTATAAAGGAGAAGATTATTTTATTTTAAGTCGTGGCTTTTAAAATGCCAATGAGAAAATAACTCTCTTTTAACAGAGACGGTGTGTGAGTTTCCCCCTGAAGATAGTCTAAAAGAGGTAAAGTGTTTATTCATCCCTCTTTTGACTCTAGTCAAACAGATTTGTGATTTCCAATGCTTAAAAAACCTGCAAAATCTAACAGACCATGCGTGTGAGAGAGAGACAGGCAGAGAGAGAGACAGACAGAGACAGAGAAAACCTTGATAGTACTGGTTTTCACACAGTATAACTTGATATATAACCACGAGAGAAACAAGCAGTCAGACACATGCTCGATAATCAAGACGTGAGTGTAGTGAAACAGCAGTGTAGTGGTCAAAGCTGAAAAATGTAAAATCAAAATCATAGTGAAGACTAAATAAAGGTCATGTATTTCAGCACAACACCACAGACAGATACACACAGAGACACATCACATCAAAAACAGAGAAGGAACTTATTTTTGAATTTTTTTTTTAAAAAAACAGGTTTTTGTTAAAAAAAAAAACTTGCATGACCAGGAACTGAATGTGGGGGAAAGTGACTGCCATGACAAAGCTTTTTCACTTCTCTGCTACAGCCTTGTGTTTTCACACTTGCTGGAGGGTCAAGAGCAAAAACGGCTTCACCAGGTTGCTTCTGACAAAACAAAAAGCTAGCTGGATTTAAAATGTTGCTGCCAAATGTAAATTTCTTGGAGGACTGTGAACCCTGGACACCACTTTTTCCCAGCGATACCTGAACACGACTGTTGCAAAGGAAAAACTTAAAAAGGCAGAACAATTTGATTAATCCAATATAAGATGTCCAATCCAAAGGAAAGTCAAGGGTCAATCCTGCAAAGGAAGGGCATGGGCAGGGGCCTTCTAAGTTTATTTGGTACAGGATGCTGCTTGGCAAGCTGAGAACCAAGATGCACATCCTGTCATTTATTCTTCATTAGCCCAAGGCTTTTCGGTGGCTCTGTGCATGGAAGATCACTTTGAGGGCAGAAGATTCTGGTTCACACCTCTGGCACCTACAGAGTCCCATCTGCCAAATTGCTGCCATATCTAAAGACAGGGATCTTGGAGGATTCTTTCATGAGACTTTTTTAAAACTTAAGGCATTTTGAGGTGATTCTTCTGGGCTAAATGACCAACAGCCTGATGGTTTAAGTCAACACCATTTAAGAACTCCACATGAGGAGGGCTTGGAAAAGACAATTTTTGGATGGCCAACCTCAGAATAGCCTACTAACATCAGGAGTGCAGTAAAAAAAAGGTAATTTTTCCAGGCTCTGAGCATATGGAGTTCCATTCCAGAGACATACAAAACCAAGGTTTTCATGCTGTTGTGTATGGCAGGTGCCTTCCATGCTGAACTATCCTAGACAGATGTAAAATCTGTCTGGTATGGTTGAGCCAGCCTCTGTTCTGTTCCAAGAACATAGCGCTCTCAGAAATCTCAAACAAGAAGAATATGGACAATCCCATACATGAGTCCTACATGAAAGGAAAAACCACAGCATGACAATGCAGGGGGCTATTTAAGATTTATCATCTTTCCTACCCCGAACAATGAAGAAAAAAAAAGGCAGCCACTGCAGGTTACATTTAAAGGTCAGAGTGGACCCATATTACCTGAATTGGACCCAAGAGGTAGAGGGTCTGTGCCAGGTCAGTGCCCTTCCCCTTCATCCCCCCCTCCACTTCTGGTGATGCAAGAATAAAAGACTTTTGTAATCTATGACAGTAACGTTCTTGTGGGCAGGGGGAGGGGAAATAAAAGATTAGAAAACACACAAACCATTACAGTTCTCGCAAGATTCTAGCCATACCTTCCCGTGCCTCTACTGCTTCTACTGTGGCTGTAATACAGAAGGAACAGTGGCATGCAAAAATGAAGACAGAAAAGAGTGAGTGAACTTAACATCACCATGGTTGTTCAAGATCTACAACCCTCCCAGTCCCAAACACAGGAGGATTGTGAAGGTGACCAGCCAGCAGAGAAGGATGGCAATGGGACGGAGAAACAGAAGGGAGCTTGGGTTCTCTTACGCAGATGGGCTGCCCAAACAGCATTGCACCAAGACCCATGGAAACGCAGCAGAGAATGGCAGAGCCTAGTTTTCAAGACCAGGGCATGCAACAGTTGGCTTGCAGGTCAGGTGGCCTCATCTAGGAGTACTTGGAAAGGGGAGGAACAAGGTCCCATCACCTCACAGTGATCCTGAATATCATCGCCTTCTCCAGGGACAGTCAGATAAGCAACCTTTCCCAGGAAGGTTTTTAAGTGAAAGGGGACTTGCTTAAGGTCAGCTGTATTCCCAGTCGTAGCAAAGGGAGGGAGAGAAGAATGCTGATAAGCAACAGGTTAAATCTAAGGTGCTCTTCTACAATGGTAGGAGAGCTTGGGCTGTAAGGAACCCCTTGTTCCACTTCTTAGCCTGCAACTCAAATCAGGCAGGTTAACACCAGACACTCTTCCTTGCAAGTTGTTACTACTCAGCAGTAACCTTCTCAGGTTTTGCCATCAGGTATTATCTCATCTGCTATGACTGTACCATTTGGTTCCCAATAGGGCAGGCCAACTCTCCATCGGAGTAATTACATTCGCCTGCCTAGGGCTAGATGGCATTGCATACTTATCTGCATAAACTTTTTTGGCTGCACCCCCATCCTTGGAAACGACTCAAATGAGATCTGACACAGACATACTCACAGGGGTGCCACAAACCATGTGGAACATTTCATTTCAGATAATGAAATGTCTTTTGCTGAATGTTGAGGGTCCATTTTTTTAAAATATTCACTTCATTGTATATTACTGCTTGAACAATATATATATAAAACAGGTATATGAAGTCAATCAGTCAACATGGTTGCTAAGGTTATGCCGTTAACCATCACAGCTAAATGAAAGTTCTGGGTCCTTCTGAATACACTTGGGAATAACCAACAGCAAGGAGCAAACCTGAGGAGACCGGCTGCCTTCACAACTTGATCAGTTTCATAGAAGCACTTGGCTGGCCAGTCAAAGAAAACAAAATGCTGGCCTGGGAGAACTGCTGATTTGAACAGAGCCCAGAATATGTACTTTTTTGGACAACAATTGCCAGGATTTCTCAACCAGCATGGCTTCTGCTCTGAGTGGGAGCAAACGGAATCTTCTTATTGGCCCGCGGACATTTGCTGAAATGCTTTATCCATATGGTGCCACAGCACCACTTGACATGGATGGAATTTTGAAGGAATGCAACCAAGTATGTGGTGGTGCAGCACTTCTGACCAACAGAAACACAAGCACTATGCCTCAAGGCTTGGACTGCCATATGCAATACAAACAGAGATACATGATCTCAGTTGTACAGCAGTTCAGAAGAGGGGCTCAGTATCCCCTATTCTAGGGCTGCTTTCCCCAATCAGAGGCCTGCTTGAATGTCTACCACTACAGTTCCCATCATTTTTGACCACTGGCCATGTTTGTGGGACTATGGGAAATTGTAGTCTGAAACATCTGGAGCCCATCTGAATGGGAAGACCTGTTGCGGATGAAATATATGGACTTAGTTGGAAAACCAAAATGGTAGTCATGCACTAGTGAAAGGAGACCAGATCGACAGAAGGAAGGTATAAATTCTTCCAGTAAGATGCAGCTGTAAGTCAGTCCAGTTTTCAGAAAAATAGCAAAGGCATCAAGAACCAGAAATTATTTCCATTTTAGACATTTAAAACTTTTCAAGTTGGGTGGGACAAACAAACTGTTATCCAAAGGTTCATATTGTACTGCATGCATGGGGAACCTCTTTTGGCCTGAAGGCTGAGTTCAGTTTCAGAGAAGTTCTTGGGCACCACATTTAAGGGCCAAAGAAGAAAGGGAGGGTCAAAAATGTCCACACATTTCAGCATGCAGTAGCTACCCCCGAGGAGATGCATTTCTATTTATTAGAATGGGAGGAGGGAATTCATCACTGTGGAACCAGTCTTATGGGGAGGGACGGAAAAGGGTAGTAATCTGGGAAACTTCAGTGGGTCTAGATAAGACCTCAGATCTGAGGTTTCTTACCCCTGGCTCTACCAGATCTGTGTACAATCATTCTAAAAACTGCTCTGAAAAATTCAACGAGCTCACACTTTCCATGTGAGACTAATTCCAAGAGCTAATGCACCGAGAGGCTTTACATTCTACATTCTGTGGTGGAGGGCATAGGCAGATTACAATACTAACCCAGTACTAGAGTACAATAAGGGTTTTGAAAAATCGCCACACAAAAAAAGTCCCTCCTTTATTGAACAAAGATTGCACACTTCCCTGGATGGACAAGGGAACCTGCAAATCCTTGGCTCAAGTCTCCTGCTCAGTCAAAAATTTGGCCAACTTGCTAGCTAATGGCCCTGGGCTTCCATGAGATATGGGAATGCTTGTGATCTCTCTCTCTCTTTTTCCTCCTCGCACATATGCACACAAACTTTATGAGGAAAAAAACAACTTTCTCCAACAGGAGGGCTAAAAAGACTTCTAGCAGGAGATCAGCAAACGTCCATTAGCTACGAAGCTCTTATGAAAAGACAACTATGAATACAAACGCAAAACTAGGAATGGGACACTGGAATGGAGAAGATCATGCTTGGTCATCTGCATCAAGGGGATGGCATTAAAGCAATGAAAACAGAGGCACAGAGCAGCAGCGTTAAGGACTACTTGGAGAACCAGCAATGACGATAACTTCATGCAGAAAACAAAGTCTGTGTGGAGATTATCCTGTGATGAAGACATAAAAGGATATTCTAGCTAGTTTCGCTCTCTTTACTAAACATTACAGAGAGCTTATAAAGTTCCAATGGTGGTATAGCTTAATTTCAGATGGAAAAAGTACCAGTGAAGGTTTAGGGTAAATCACAGAAATACAGAAAACTTGATGCAGCAGGAGTTGAAGACAGCTGCTCAATATATTAAACAGCTAGAAACTACACTGCTTTCTAAGTATGATGTATTTCACAGCTCCTAAAAGCAGGTGGAATAGCACTTCTTGATGCTATTCTTGAACATCACTCCTTTTCTCCTATTTTATTTGAGAAAAGATTTTGAATTTCCTACAAAATGAAGTCTGCCCTTCTTAGTGAAGAAAACTCCAGATCTTATGAAATGATCACAGCATCTGCCACATAATAGTCTGCCTTCTATCATCTCCTACGTGCATGTGCGAAATTTAATCAATTGTATCAAGAAGAAAGGCAAGCACCTTTGACGTACGCAAGGAAGTGATCTATTATCTCCCCCAATGTAACAGTTACACTGGCAGCTAGTTTGTATCCAAGTGCAATTCAAAACTTCGGCCCAGGCAATTTGAAGGGTGGGATTATCCCACATAAGCCACACTGGCTTTTAAGAATTTCTGGGTAGACTTTCCTTGGACATACCTCCCTCATGGACTCATTTGGCAACAATACAAGAGATGGACGCTTCATTGGCTGTTATGCGATATCCTCTCTTTTGTCTTTCAGCTGGCAGGCAACAGCCTTTGTTTTGAGATAGACTTTTAACCTATTTAACTATGCTGTTTTTACTGATTAGGGAGTAAGTTTCAAGTGTTTTTTAAATATCACTACTCGTTCAATTGTTTTTAATGTTATTATGTCTTATGGTATCTTTAATTTTGTTTACTATACTCTTTTAACAGCCCAGTTGTGCAGCACGGGATGTGAAAATTCCACAAAGAGAAATAACAGAACAGTTTATTAATTGGTTTATGCAAAGACGATGTGGGCAACTGCATAAGCCTAAACTTTAATCATTTGTTTTTCTGAATCAAGCCACTAGTCTGAGGAAAGGGCATATTTAAAAGTGGGTCAAAGAAATGTACGAAGACTCACTTTTAACCCACAAGAGTAAATGGCATAAAACACAACGAAAGTGTGGGACACACACTGTGTTGTTCCATGAACCCTAGCAAAGGCTCTCTGTCAAACACAAAGAAGGGAACAGAAACACTTGAGGATAAAGAACCATCCAAGATATTAATGCTTAAAAATGCTCTCAAAAAGAATCGGGAAACTCTCAACTTTGGGCTATCAGCGTTAGCACTGAGAACGGATGGACTTAGTACAGGAGAGAACAAAGAATTCAAATGGATGGTACACTCCTACACAGCAGAAGAACTCTAAAGGGAAACTGCTGCTGAAGCGATAACCATCTGAAGAGCCATTGCAGAGAACAGGAGACAGTGAGGCGTCAAACCTTTATTCCCTGCAAGATCACCAGCCAGGACAATATCATACAAATGCCCTGGAGAAGATGCTTTCCTTGAGCTCCCCCCGCTTGCCAGTTTCTACTAAATTAGCCCAAGCTGTGACCCCCTCTCTTTGATGCTTCTCTCTGCCACCTTTGGAGCTCCTAAGAGGAAGATCTGATAAGTCACCAACGCATTGGTAGGGGCACCTGTGAGTAATCCTTTTTATGGCAGAACTCCAGGCATATTAGAGAAAAGGGAAAGCTGAGCTCCTCCCCATAAACTCAGATGATCTTCTACGGCAAGCCACATGACCAAATTCACACACCTGTGCCAAAAAATAACTGAGGCATGAACTTACCGGTCTGTAGAGTCTGCTTCCCCCCTGAAAGGACTCCCAAGGGCAGAGTACCCGTAGGAGTTAGGCCTTTGAGTGTCAGCACACTCTCACTCTCCTCTCTGAAAAGCAGGAACAGTCATCAAATTACCCAAGCATATCAAGACTTAACAGTAGTTTGATAATGATTTTAATTATGTGCTGTCATGTCTATGCTGACCCATGGCAACCTTTTCCAGGGTTTTCTAGGTACAGGGTACTCAGATGTGTTTTACCATTCCCTTCTTTCTAAGACACTCTTTCTGGGTTAGGGCTGTGGGGGCTGTGCAGCTTCCCCAAGACAAACAGGCTGACTCCTCTCCTGGGATGCTCCATGGGAATCCAACTCTCAACCTCTGGCTTCATGGTCAGACAGCTAAATCTATGCAGCCAGCATTCCTGCAATACAGCAACTCTCCTAATATGAACACTTAAGATTCTTTTTTTTGTTTTGTTTTAATGAGCAGCTAAAAACATTAAAAGACGCACCCAACTATTATCATAGAATAAGGTTCTGAAGGTTTTCCCCCTAACGTTTCACAAGTGTCTGTTGTGACAGATCACAGTGACAGACACCCACAACAAAAGCAAAGCAAAAAGCAAACCGTGCTGCGTATATACTGCCCCATAGCGCTTCAAGCACTCTTTGGGCGGTTTACAAGTTAATTATGCAGGCTACACATTGCCCCCACAGCAAGATGGGTACTCATTTTACTGGCCTCGGAAGGATAGAAGGCTGAGTCAACCTTGAGCTGGCTACCTGGGATTGAACCCCTGGGTTGTGAGCACAGTTTTGGCTGCAGTACAGCGTTTTAACCACTGCGCCAGGAGGCTCTCTGATCACCATAATCACCCAATCTCCTGAAAAGGACAAAAAGCTGATCCCACAGCTATAAATACTCAACTATCCCACAAACTGCACCAGAGCACAGACAGAATTCTGACTCCTGTCCTCTGAAGATGCTGGCCACAGAGACTGGCGAAAGGTTAGGAAGAAAAACCTTCAGAACACGGCCAAACAGCCCAAAAAACCTACAACAACCATGGTATGATATATTTCCAAATAGAAGAAAATAGTACTGAGCTCCTAGCCCAACCAAAGGGGAGTAAAACCAAGGCAATAGGACCATAAACTTCATGCCTCCCCTAATGACTTTAGTTTTTAGCAGTGACCATATAATCTCAGAACTACAGTTTTGTGTATTACTATGAACCCCAGTAGTATCTTACAAGTAGTACATCAAGGCAATACCCCTAAAAATCATTCTTTGTTCTATTATTCAAATACATAATCTCTGCGATTCAGAAGGATCGCTCACTTAGTGAAGTACATTGAGCGCTAAGAGGGTCTGGATGCAAAACTGCGTGGGACCCCCATGCATCCAGTCTTAAATTCCACAATGGAAGAAAAGAGATATAAACAAACTGAACTGTGGCATTCCTTTATATTTTACAGCAGAGACATGGGAATGTGCAGGGCCCTCCCTGCATACTGGACTGCAGTTCCCATTACCCTTAGGTAAAAATCTAGTGTACACATGTATCCAAGGCTTTCAATTGTGCTCACTCCCCAAGTGTAGCTCACAAAGAATTAATTTCATTATCATCAGTACCACAGGCACAGTCTGACAAAAAGATGTTATTTTCTCCTGCCTTTCTAGCCCGGGTTCCCAAGCAAACTTACCGAAGGACGGAAAAAACTCGTGCCATCTTCCCAATGGCCCTGATCTTATTCCTGATGATCTCTTTGCGGGCATTGGTGCCTCCTTCGGAAAGAAAAATCAAAATGGTTTAAATGGATGTGGAAGCAAAACATGTAAGGTTCAGGCGATGCCAGTATGAAGCATCTGCTTGATTCTAGGAAAGAGAAAACGGATTACAACTTCACAACTAAATTCCATCAAGTCACAGTCATGGAAGGGTAGAATGGAAAAGCGAACATGTGATGAAGGACCGACTGACACACAGACATGAAATCTAAAGGGGGGAAAAAGTAGGACCATCGGAAGTAATAAGTGATATGCAGAGCTGCAGACCTCTTTGCCTCCCCCACCGTGGGTGTGACCACATTAGACGTGGGATGTAACATGGATGACTCAGCCAGAGAGACAGTTTGGCAAGGCAAGAACACAGTGACAAGGCCAAGTGAGGGTAGAGACATCAGGTGGCTGGGCTGAGCTGGCAGAAGGGACAGCAATTACATAAGCACCACCTTGGCACAGACACAGACAGAAAAATGGCTGAAATGACTTATCTTTACTGCAGCCCAATACAACGTGTTAGGAAGGAGCACCCTCCCTTTTTACTACACAGACCAAACATGGACTGAGAAGCACAGAGATTGAGAGGTGGGTGTGGGGGTGGGTGGGCTCAACAATAAACTGAAGGACAAAATGCATCTCCTCTCAACTGAGATCTTGTTGCTGTTTTTCAGTGGACCGACTATGCATTAAGAACAGGACAAGCCAAACTGGAGTTCTGACATGCACCAATGGATCAGCCATGCATCAGGTGGCTCCATTCAAAAGTCAAGAGAAACGTGACACCACCATCCCCACCACAGCGTTCAGGTTCCTGGTGGAACACAACAGGGTTAAAAAAAGAAAAAGAAAAAAGAGAGAAACCAAACCAAACCAAACGCACCACGTTTATGTTAAAACTGAAGGGAAAGAAGGGGGAGAATGGCGAAACTTTCCGACTAGTAGGCTATTCAAAATCCACTCCAAGGAAATCTGGTGGCACAGGCAGTGAGAATTAAGCTTTTTTAGCAAAATTCTAGCTGGGTACCTTTCGGATAGCTTGAAATGTAGTTATCTTCAGGGAGAGGAGACACCAAGTAAACAAGGAGATGAAGATAGAGATAGAAGAAACAATTTTAATTTCCATGGGAATGAGGGGGGGAAAACATTTTTTCAAAAAAATAAGGCAGTGGGGCAAGAGGAATTGATTGGTATTTCTCTTCTGTACAGCATCATACTCACTGGGCTAAGTTAGACTCCCTTAGACAGAAATAGAATTTCTGCCCACAAAGTTCTGGACAGGCAATCAACTTACTGTAAGCCTCCTAATGCCTGATATAAAATTATAGAGAGGGGCAAATAGAAGGGAAGTTGGTTCTGTTACTAAGATAGATAGATAAAAATTTATTAGTTAAAAAACCAGGCACGTTCTGTTACTAATGATGACGCAAAAAGGATTTAAAAGCTCACCCAGTTATCAGTGAATAATGAATACTGATCTGAAAGTATAAGATACTAATTCCTTTTTGCATCAATTAATAGCATGAACAGCATTTCTTTTTGCATCAATTAATAAGGCTTATGACAGGAAGAAAGAGAGACAGAGAGAGAGAAACCCAACCCTGAAACAAAACCTTACTATTATAGCAAAATCATAAATCTGTCTTTTGTTTCCGCTGATAAGGAGTTATGCTGTCCTTAAAAGAAAAACCAGTTCCTGTACATTTTACTGTTGTTATTTTTTTTTTAGCAAACTTCATTCACAACAGCTTTTCAGAGTTCTCTGATTACAGAACCAAACTGTTATTGCCTATTCGGTTTTTATGCCTTTATAATATGCAAGCAAGGTGTGTTTAAATGGTTGAAGCTGTACCCCTGGAAAGCTAGTAAAAAGGCCTCTTACGCATGACCACTAATACTGCAAAATACTTAAGGTCTTAATCTACAGTATTACCACAAGCATAGGTATGGCAGCATTCATGATGATAAACTCTGCTCCCTGAAGCAGAGTTCTTCACAGGCTGGGGCTTTTATTTTAGCACTTAAAAGATGGCTGCACAGCTATGTTTCGGCTCATTTAATTAAAAAAAGAAAAGCATGTTTTCCCTTATAAGTGAAAATTGTCAGATAAGAGTTGATTACTCTTTGAAAAAATTGAGTTTACAATCCCATCATCTTGTACAGGAAACCAGGGAGCAGCAACAGTTATGATAAAGAAAAGGAACAAGCAAGCTCTGCATCTCAGTCAGGCTTTCTCCAGGCAAACTCTCCCTTTTCCCTCCATTTTCTGTACAAATATCAAGCAGTCACTGATCAAGGATACAGCCAGGCTGGGGCTAAGAGAGGAATGACTGGAGGGGAGGGCTGCTCTAGATAAATAACTGAGTGTGTTTCAACCATGAATGAGAAAGATGGCAACAAAAAGGTGTCAAAAACAAGCCTCCACATCCAGAACTGAATGTCCATTTCTCCAGATCTGCTTGAACCGCATCCCCCAAACCTAACCCCACCTTGAAAGTATAAGAAAGTGGTGTTACCATCCAAGGTTTCGTCTCCATCTGAAATGAGCTCATCGTCTGAGCAGATGTTGAGGATATTAACCAACATCTCTGTAACTGCAAGGAGGAGCAAGAAACAAACAGCACAATGATTAAAAGCCAGGCTGCGCATGGGAAAACTCCACAGCATATGAATGTGCTGGTTTGAACAAGGTGCTATATTATGGTTTAGAGCTAGATGAAGAAGCACCATGCTTACACACTTTATTCCAACAAACTTTATTAACGGAGCCCCCCCCCTCCAATTTTTCAGTAGAGACCAGTGTTTATCACCGCACCTGAAATAAGTCATCGTTTGCTAATGCCTTCCAAATCAGGGCAGCAAACTCCCTTTAAATGGTGATTTCCACTCCTGACTTGAAGGATAAGCAGAGGCTGGTTGACAGGCCAAGATACTGCACAAAATGTTCATGCTGAAGCAGAAGTGACTCACTGAATTACAGGAGGGAGTCCGGGAACAGATGTGCTTACACAGTAAGAAAGCATATTTTGGATTGACACGGGGACCAAGCTGATGTGTTTATGAACAGCTTCACAAAATATAAAGGTCTGCTCACACTGGAAACACCCATTTGGAATGAAATTTTGGTTACTTAAAATCTAAAAGGGACTAGGATCTCTTCTGGTGCTCAATTAAGAAATGCTACAATCCTCACTTACTCCTCATACCCAACTGAAACAAAATTTCTATCATGAAAATATCTCACAATATTTTATTTACAAAGCATCTCTAAAACAGCTAGCCACTGTACAAAGATTTATTTTTCCCATCTATCTGACATTAAGGCACCACTTCTGACAGAACTCTACAAACTATTTGGAAGTATTCCCTGAATATTTAAATTCCCTTCATGATGTCTGGTTAAGGGGGAAATCCTTGAAACAGAGATCTCCTGGGGCTGCTTGTCGTGTCTGCCACATTTCCATGAGCAAGTATTGGCATTTATGCTCAACTGACCAACAGAGAAATTCTGTGTATTTTAGGAAGAACCCAGAAAAGAAGTAAGATATCGACAGAGACGGCCAAATAGACATGGCACTTAGCAGGAGAAAAGGCCATTCACTTCAAACAGCAGTCTTAGTGACTGCGGAAGAACTTAAAAGCTCTTTAAAACTTGCGTGTTTGGAACCTCAGTTCTCAAAAACCCCAGATAGCAAAGGATGATGGGAGTTACAAGTTAAAATGCCTCTGAGCTCAAAGCCTGTATCGAAATCCATCAAGAGTATAACTGAACATAAACACCAAGGGCTCTTCTAACCTACTTTTCCAGATACAAGTTTGCCCAGACTTTTTAACTCTGAAGGAAACAAATAGTTAACCTAATTTTCGGTTTACAAACAGAAATCCATTGAATATAATGCCCCAGTTTACATTTTGCTTGTTTGGTTTCAGTTTACAAAGGAAGTTTCCCCAGGACACATAGTGCCTGGAGGTTTATAGTGCCACCCCCGTTCCGGTTTCCAATTTTTTCGCTTTACATGATGTCCCCTAGAACACATTAATTTTGTAAACCAAGGTACTACTGTACTGAGAACTAAGTAGATCTACATAAACCTGAATTTATGTACAGCATATGCTGATTTCAAAATCCATCGTCAACAGAAAACTGTGAATTGTAGGATAAATCTAAGTACAGTACTAATGAACCAGTAGGCAAGGCATTGGAAACTGCCTTAGGAACAATTTAGCTCAAGAGTAGTACATAAATGTCATCAGTGAAGAAACATGCCCATTATTTTTACCCAAAAAATCCTTTAAAAATCCTTGTGATTTGAAATTTCCTAAGCTGCCTTTCTCCGAAGGTCAATTTTGCATACATTCCTTAAATCTTTGGCATCGGCAACAAGCCGCCCTGCAGCATGCCCAGGAATCTCCCCTTTGGGGCAGCGACTGACAAGTCAGAGGCTGTATCTCGCTCACACAGCCGATACTGTTACATAGGGGGAAGGGATTCTCCACCAACATTTGGCTCACTGCCTTTTCTATCATGAACTTGACCGTGCCGTCTGCCTCTTACCCTTTTCCCCTACGAAAGGCAAAGACCATGTGAAAACATCCATAAAATTTGGAAGCCAGTAGGGGTGCGGAGAACAGTTGAACTGCCTGATGTTCATGACATTATTTTCATATTTCAGTACAGCAGCTAGATCAAAACAAGAGAGAATTAAACAAACAACGGTTACAAGAGTGTTGATTTGGCTTCTCTCCTCCAGGTTTCTCCAGCTCTAAAAATGAAGTTCTATCACTATGCAAAGCAACCCCTTCAGACACGTGCTATACGAGAAATAAGAACTGCCAGAGGTTCACCAGTTGTCAGGTGAAATTCACCTTCACTCCTATAGATATTAATTGAATACTGAAAAGACACCACAAGCTGTGCTTGAGTGTAAAACTTAAATTTCTGTTTTAATTCCATACAAATGAGCTTTGCATCACACAGTCTCTTTCTCCCTTCTCCTTCCAGCGCGGCTGCAAGACTGGAAGCCTCTACTGTACTTCACTGTAAGGTGTGAACTGGAATGAACTGTGATTAGCCTGGATGGATCAAATCATGGTTTACAAATATGACTTGTCTTGATGAACAATAGGTAAAATTCGTTAAAGTTCAAGCATGGCAAGCCAAAGAGAAGCAAATGCTTCCTCTCCTCTGGCCTGCATATGGAAGGAAGGTGAAGCAGTTGTGCAAATGTATTATTAAATTACAGGTTCCAGCAGTATGTATTTTGAGACAAGCAACATCTTTAACATAAGCATCCTGTATTTAAGTGAAATACTAAGGAAGTATTATGAGATGAAACAAGAGCTTCTAATAAGGAAAAACACACATTTCTATGCTGAGAAATTAGTCTAGAAAAACAGTAATGCAGCACTGGCATACAAGACACCCAGTCCAAACCTTACCCTTGTTGTTATAGACGTCTAGATAGTTTGGTGCAGAAAAGATTGTGATTAGGGATGGAAAACCTGTAGTTTGGCTTTTTCTGTACATCCGATACCTGGAAAAACAGGTAGAGGGTAAGTGGAGTGAACTTGCAAAATATTCAAAAGGTAAGAAGGCTTATGAACACAGGACTAAAGTTATTCTGAACCTACCCAGCATCCTGGGCCTCATGTGCTCGGATCACAGATAATAAATTATTGTTCTGCAAAAATTCACAAATTGCAGGGTAACTGGAAAAAAAAAACATTTAAAAGGCCATTAATGTATATAGAAGAAAACCACTCCAATTGCATCTCATCTTCCCCCAATGAAGCTCAACATATACAAAGTGGGAGATCCTAATATACGCTTAGGACCAGTGTGGCGTATTGAATAATGTGTTGGTCTAGGGATGTAGGAGACCTGGCTTCAGAATCTCCATTTGGTCATGGACGTCTCCTGGGGTACAGGAGCAATGCTAAACAACTCTGAATATCTTTCATATATATATATTTTAAAAAAACTCTAATAGGGTTGCCATTATTTTGATGTTACTAGACAACATATTAGAACAATTTATCTCAACCCTCGGGCCGCAGGTTGGACAAGCCTGGTCTAGGATGTAGCAGACCTGGCTTCAGAATCTCCATTTGGTCATGGACGTCTCCTGGGGTACAGGAGCAATGCTAAACAACTCTGAATATCTTTCATATATATATATTTTAAAAAAACTCTAATAGGGTTGCCATTATTTTGATGTTACTAGACAACATATTAGAACAATTTATCTCAACAACCAATGAGTTGGTTAGGTTGACAGAAGGAAACTGATTTCAGCATTGCCTCCTGATCTTTATGGCTGAGTGGGGATTTGAACTGTCTACTTCTTGATACAAATCTAACGTTCCTGCTCTGCCATACTGCTTGTCTTGCTGGCAGCAGATGGGGTCATTACTAGGAGTAACAGGGCTACAGGAACAACTCCTAACCACTGTTGAGGGTGCCAAATAAACCTCAAAGCAAAGTAATAGTTATAGAAACCATGGAATTGCTGCAATGCTGAAGCTACCCATGTGAACATTCAGAGGAATTTGTGAAATACATTCAAGATACATCTTGAAAATATCTCAAAAGCAATAAACAAACAGCATTTAGAGTCTCAGATTTTAACGTAAAAAAATTCAGGTATTAGTAGTGAAACAAGCTGTATTTTTTTAGAACAGCCACACATCTGTTAGAATCCTGTCCAAACCTCTGAAAAGTTAAAGGACTGAGAACAACAGCTTGGACTGTTTCTTTTCCACCCTTGTCTGAGATATTTCTTACCTGTAGAAATAGGAACAACCTCGAACAGTATTATGAGTGAAGTGTTCCAGTGTCTTCTCATTGCCATAATCCTCTGATGGATCAGACCACAGCAGGTCACACATTGGACCAAAAGCTGGAGGTTCCTTAAACCTGTCTAACTGAAAAAGACACACAAAAAGACAGTTTTAGACATATACCTGCAGACCGAGGACACATATTATTAAATATATATGTGAAGGCTGTATGTACAGATACTAAAAACAAATACAAACTCATCAATCTATACTAGACTTGTACAATCTATAGCGTGGATCTACCTCCAATTTCTGCTAGCACAGTTGTACTGGATGATACCATTATGCAACTGCTTGTACAAAATGTACAATTGTACCAACTCAGGAAGCATCCAACCACTAACACAGTGGGTCTTCTGCTAGCACAGTGAAATGACTGGACATAGGGCAAGACTTGCTAGAAATAAATTATCTAACACATTCTTCTATAATCAGTTGCACCACAACTGAGGAATACTGATTTCCTTGGTAGGGAGACCTCAGCAGCAGAAATCCACTCTTAAAGTTTAAGAGATAGATTCAACTCATTTTGATGTTTTCTCTGTAAGGGTTATGTACATCATGTTTCCCCCACAATGACTCAGTCTACCAATGAAAGACAAAAAGATCATTCTCACGGAACTTAAATCTGGAATCAAAGAAATGTTATGATACTTTAGGATTACACTAATTCTTCATCTTCCTCAACAAACATTAGACGGCCTCAAAAGAAAAGACAACAACCCTTAAAAGGATGAGGCAAGCCTCTAAATGTTTCAGTAAAAATACACAGATTCTATAAGCAGGCATCCTTAATAGGAAAAGACTGCTTCTTTACTTGTAGCATGATGTTGCCTCCAAGCACACTTAGCCTATTGAGCTTCCTTTTATTTTGAAAGAGATCCACTGAGAGTTCTTTATCTGCATGTCTGATGTCTCAGGAACATAATGCTGAAGATTAGTGGTGGCTGGAGCAATAATGGTTGTTACAGAAGGAAGCACATATTTGTCTTAACATGTGAGCTGATCCCCAATCCCAACAACTGATGCCAAGGTAAGCAGTGCCATGTTACAAAGGAGAAGGGAAAGAGGAAAGAGAGAGGTCACTTACTTTCCTAATATCATCTAGACACGTGATTTCGGGAGACAGCCCACCATGGACACACAGAAACTGCTGGTTCAAAAGGGCAGCAAGAGGAAGACAGTCAAATGTATCCATGCATGCATCGTACACTCGTTCTGAGTACTTAATTCGACCTAATGGAAGCAAAAGTGAGAAACACAGGTGCCACAGTTATTTGATGGGTACGTAGCACAGGCCCCTCACTCTGGGGGCTGAACTGTCCACAAGATTCTGATATGCACAATCACTTTTGCATGAGAAAAAAAGCTTTCAGAAGACCATTCCACAGAGCTTAGGGATGTGTCTTTTTCTTCCTTTACTCGTAAGCTGCTTCTGCTGTGATAACATTTTTTGGGGACTTCCCTCAACAACCAATTTTTGAATACAGTTGCACAAGCCTCTTTAAAATCTGTTGTGAAAACCAGCCCTTGTCTTTACGGCAACCTCATACATTTAGCCATAAATAAAAAGGGAAAAGAAATAATCATTTACTTGCTTTGGCAAATTACAAGAATTAGAATGGTAAATATATAACTTATAGCAGCTTTTTTTTTACCCAGTTAGCCTGCAGAATGTATAGTCAATAAACTGCTAAAATTTGCTCACACTTCAGAGGAATTACAAAGGTCAAACAATGCAAACACAGGTACCAGACCAAATACTACAGAAATATGTGCAAAGACCTCAGAGAAGGAATGGATTACTACTCTGCCAGCAACCTTTTTGTGCTTTCTTTCACAGAGATTGATCAGAGATGAATGCTAAACAGAGCAGGGAGTACAAATGGTCTCAGGGAAGCTGGCATTCCAAGATCATACCAACATACAATAAATGGATTGATCAACACCACAACGAGGCTCACTGAAGATTGCAGGTGATTTTATGGGGAACAGGGAACAGAGGGAGATGGGAGATGCACGGGTGTGTTGCACAGAGCCAGTAACCTAAAAAGACTAATGGCTTGAAGCTGATTTGCCAAGTCAGTGAGAGAATTAAAAAAAACATGACCTTAGCAGCAGTATTTTGAAACAGAATATAGATGGAAATGCTTGGTTTTCCCTTTGCACCATTATCACTCAGGTGATAACAGCCAACCCAGTTTCTATCCATTTAAAGGTGTACACACTTGCAGAGTGGGATTCACTCAGAAACCTATGCTAGAGGGGGAAAGCCCTTTATCTTCTTCCAGTCCTGATAGCAGCTGCACAGTCTCGAACTCAAAACTCTTGGCAGTGATTATAGGGTGTTGGGTCCTTAAGCTGAAGGGAGTGGGAGGGGCAGCTCGCACACAGTCAGACTGTCAAGGAGATGGCAACCCAGGAACGCATCCAAGCTTTGCTGTGAAAAGGGGACTTAAAACACCCCTTCCTCCCATGTTGGAGAAGGACAGGAACACACAGAGAGATGTACATTCACGCCAACGTCAACACGGTTCCCTTGCAAGACCCAGGGCTCATCTGTCACCTCCCAATACTTACATTCCTGTTTGAAGGTGAAGTATTCTGTGAGGTGCCTGCACTCATGGTTCCCTCGGAGCAGGAACAGCGTTTTGGGGTGATTTATCTTTAAACTCCACAAATACAGCACACACTATAGGAGACAGGTTGAAAATTATATGTGTGAGAAAAATCTTTTCACAGAAAACACTCTGGAACTTTGTGAAGCTTGGTGGAAATAAACACAGAAAGCTGTTTTTATTTTATTTCCAGAACTACAACAAAGGAAGAACACAGAGTAGGATCATGGCAAGTATTCTATCAGGTCAAACTATTCGTCCTCTAGTACCATGCAGTCTGCTCTGACTGGCTAGGGTCATAAGCAGAGGGGGGCCTTTCACATCACTGCCACCGGGTCCTTTAAACTGATGATGATTCTAGGATTTGAGCCCATGAACTGTGTGGCTACTGGGTAACAAACCCCCCTGAATGAATCAAACTGGATTTTCAGCAAGTGTGCTAGTAGTAGAAGAGCTATGCTCTTAGCCAGTGTACATAGGGAGCTAGGAACATATTGAACCAGACAGTAGTCCATCTAGTCCAATGGTTCCCAAACTTGGGTAAATCCAGGTGTTCTTGAAATGCAATTCCCAGAAACCTTGGCCAGCACAGCTGGTGGCAAAGGCTTCTGGGAGTTGCAGTCCAAGAACACCCGAGTTGCCCAAGGTTGGGAACCACTAATCTAGTCCAATACTGTCAATCATGCCTTGACAACATTTACCAAGTTTTGAGGAGAAATCTTTACATATCTCTTACCAAAGGGCCTGGTATTCAAGCAAACACTACAGGTCCAGCCCTGCCTAGCTTCTGAAACCAGACAAGATTGAATGTGGGAAGGGAGATACTATAGTATAAGCATAGCTTCACCTTGGGTAGGGTGTCTGATCTACTGAGACACCCAATGGAAATAGCAATGGAGTACAGGAGAGGAAGAGGACTGTACACCCAGTTGTGGAAAGGTCAGATCCAAGGGTTCTCCTTCCAAGGTAGGCAACAAACTCCTACTACCTCTGCTACCTGTAGCACCTTCACTTAGGTGAGCCATTTGTTATATGGCCAATCTTCCTAAGAAGGCTCATATGCAGAGATATTGGTGTTCTGCACATTCGCCTATCCTGCAGACACCTGTTTAGTTTTGCATGCTGCACGTTGAGTGAATGTTTTGAAGACTGTAGGATCCTATGACAAATGGAATGGTAACAGGCATACAGTCAGGATTAGGAAGGACCAAAATATCATATACAGATGGAGCACTAAGCTTGGAGAAAGAAACCATGTAGGACACAGAGACACCCCTCTGAGAAAACAGGAGTCGGTTATCTGCATTTTCTCAAACAGTTCTCCAGATCCACAGGACTCTGATGTCTGCTTTTTCCTTTTGTTTTCAACCTAAACAAGCCAGGATTTTATGCAGTTTCTTTGAACTGAGTTAGTGGTCACTAACAGCCCTTGTCCAAAGGGGTGGTGCATAAAAATGCTTCTCAGAAAAGTATAGGTGTAAGCAGACTCCATGGTTTTAACTAGTGTAAACCCACTGAATCAATGGGCTTGTGTTAAGTATCAACTACAAAAATCACATTCATTAAATGGGTGTGTATAACCAGGACTAAAAACTGCATATAGACTTTATAGTTTCTTGGAGATATTTGTAATGAATCTCGGTCATATATACCCAACCCCACAGCATTCTTTCTCAGCATCAAGAACAAACTAGGGGAACCGGGAGTGAAGCTATCATTCAATTGGAAACTCCTGCACAAATTTCTTCATTAGCACAGTATTTCAAGTACATTTCTACTACAGCACTGATCATGGCTTCACTGAATTACTCACACTGGGCAACAAGTCCCGTTAGCAAAGCAAACAGCTATATGAAACTCAACTCACCACAAAGCATAATCAATCCTTAACACAACAGCTAGAATCCCATTAAATATTTACACTGGCATTAAGTGGAATGGTATAAACTGCAGTGGCAAATTGCCACTGGTTAACAAGTCATATGACCTGATGCATAACCTAAGACATTAAGATCATACAGATTACAAGCAAATATAGGTACTGTAACTCCAGATAGAGAATATTCAAGTAGCAAGGCAGCACAGTATCTTTGACTGAGGCCTTAAAGGGTTGATTTGTTTATTTTATTTATTAAATTTATACCCCACCCATCTAGACAGAAGTCTATTCTGGGCGGCTGATGTGTCAGAGTAGACCAGGAATAGGCAACTTGGTACTCTCCAGGTGTTCTGGGCCATAATTCCTTGGCCATTGTCTATGCTGGTGAGAATTACAGACCAAAGAATTTAGGCAAAAGGAATGCAGACCAAGGAATTCAAGCTAAAACCTGCTTAATTCTGGAGAATATAATATTGAACTACAGGGAATAAAACAATTATATGGGCCAATTTGGTACAAAGAAAATAATATGTCCATATATGATCAAAGGAGTCTTTTGGTGCAGTGGTTACGCTGCAGTACTGCAGCCAAAACTATGATCATGATCCAGATTCAATCCCAGGTAGCCAGCTCGAGGTTCACTCAGCCTTCCTTCCTTCCAAAGTTGGTAAATTGAATAGTCAGCTTGCTGAGGACTGCATAAGTACATTATAAACTGTCCATAATGTGCTATAATGCATGCTTTTATGTGAATGTGAATTTCTCTCTTATGTGCATAATTTCTGTGATTAAATTTGGTACAGCCATAGTTTGCCAAATTCAGACTAAACTACATACCCAAGGCACCTTTTAAAATCTCATTTGTATTTACCCTCTCCTCCAAGGAGTTCTGGGTGGTATACCTGTACTTATCGGATTTTATAATTACAGTTGTCCTGTGTGGTAGTTGAGGGTGGCTAAGAGGCAGCAACTGGTCCAAACCAAATCCATCTGCCACAAGATGGTGCCTTAACATAGTCATTAACATGAAAGCAGGTAAGTGCCCTCTGTCCTAACCATGTGGATACTGGCCTTCCCCTCTTCTACACAGGCACAGTCTGCGTCCTGCTTCCTGGCTGCTTGCATCAGGATGCAATTATAAAAATTACCTCCTATTCCATTCTGCTAGGTTATTAATATAAACTGTTCCAGCAGATGCTTCCTAATACCATCCCCCTCCCCACAACCCAGATACACAGGACTTGTGCTGGGATTTCTAGAACTTAGGGATGCCTGCATTCTCTTGTCTTATCTTTGCCAATACATTTTCTCTCTGTTCTAAGCACGTTGACTGACTTCCCCCTCAATACTGGAAGCCAGCACTTAAAACATGTCCAGGCAGAAAAAAATTCTGAAACAGAGAGAAATATTTTGTGGAAAGCAGGAAGCCAAGGCGTATCTCTGCGCTCGCAAGGAAAGCTTCTCAATTCTCTTTTATCAAGTGACATTTAGATTTGCTCCCATGTGTACTAATCAAAGCTCGCCTTGCTTCATGAAAGATGAATACCTGCTTGCCAGAAGAAAGGAACAAACGTATCACACACTTTCTCTCCATTGTGGAAGGGAGTGAACAAGAATAACATGAAAGGGCTCCATGCTGTCAGCACACAAAGGACAGGGATTCGAGGCAACTCCTAAGATTGCAAATGCCAGTTTGTGCAGTATGGCCTTGCAATGTTTTCAATATGTACTCTTGTGCCACACTGCACATGGTGTTCAGAGCAGCATCTCAAGCAATAATCTCAGCACATTTTTTTTCTCCATGCCATTCTAATAGAGCCATACTATTTTTTCCACCTTCTCCATTTTCTAAGGGCTCCTTTCTAAAGCTCTCGTCTGTCAATTAAGTAATGCAGAGGTAGAAAACATGTGTTTCTATGGAGCTTTTGTGAAACCTACACCTCTCTGAATGCAGTGAATTCCAGCTTTTAATTTTTTTTTAAAGGCGACATTTTCAGTGGCCCAATTAGCTTTACCTCTTACATTATGTCTAGATCAAAATTTGAAGCAAACATGAACATTCGTTTTCACACAAAACAACTAAAGAAATGCTGAGGCAAAGTAGAATAAATATTGCATGCTCAGTGGGAGTTTACAAGATGCCTAAAGCCAAATCAAAAATGAATTGGGAAGTTCTTCAAGCCAAACATCTGGGTGACCTAAAAGATGCCGACACAGTTTGATAACAGGATGGAAAGTCCTCAAAAGCCTTTTCATGTGTCTATACTGCAGAAACATGCCCAGACATATGCAATATAGGAGACTCTTATGTGAGCTGGAATGGTGCTTCCTTGCTTTCAATGCTTTGCTGGGTTCTAGGTGGAGGTACTTTGTACATAGTTTCAATGCATGCAAGATCTTTCACTACATCACAAAGCAAACATATAAATGTTAATTGTTCATAATAAGTCATTAATTCTTATTAATTTTATATCCCACTATTCCATTCATTTACTCAAGAAAAGGCAGAGAATCAAAACTGGCTGACCACACAGTATTTGGGGGGGGGGCGTTCACAATAGCAGTAGGTCAGTATCTTTTACTTTGAAAAACTACCAAGTTGCAAAGAGCTTAGCAAGCTCAGTATTATGCAAGATACATAAAAAAAGAGTCACAAAACCAAAGAATTGAGGGTTGGCTCCCCTCCTTGCTGCTATCCATTATTCAACACATGGAAGCAATCAGCAGGCCCTCCTTTTTCTCTGAAAACTGATGCCATTCATGCCAGTCTAAGGGGGAAGACCTTGTTTCTTCAGCACTCAACCATGGAATGGCATGCAACTGAAAAGTAAAAATTAGCTCAACTTTCAAAAGGTTTCAGGAGAAATTTCCCCTCTTTCAAAATGCTGCTGGAATAGTAGCAGCCATTCAGCTGAGCTGCAGAGCACAAAGAAAAAGAGAAGCACAGCTGTTCCATCCCCTTTGGGTCTCCCACAATTGATAGCTCACAGGGGCCATCCCATCAGGCTGTCTTAATATTTCGTTGCAGCCAGTTGTTAAAGAACTGTTTGAACTTTTTAAAAAAGGTTTCTCTGTCCCCATTCCCATTGTCCTGTGCTTCTTATAGCAACCATCTGGCAGATTTGTATTCCTGCACTGAGCAGGGGGTTGAATTCGATGGCCTTAGAGACCCCTTCCAACGTCATGATTCCGTGGTAGGCATTAGGCACAGATTAGTCTCTGCATATCTTTCTAAGATTAAATATTTTAGGCTAATGAGCTAAGTAATGGTTCTTTAAAATAATGTTAAAAATTAAATAGTCAAGAATACATATATCGACTTCACTGTGTCTATGTCTTCAGGACATCATCCCGTCCAGTAACTGCATCCTTTCTCTTTCCCTCAGAAAGACTACATGTTTGCATCCTTACAAGGTGGGAAACTTGCAGCTCTACAGATTTGTTAGATTACAACTCCCATCATCCTTCCCAACTGGAAGTACTTGGAGCTGCAGCCCAATATCAGCAGAGCCACATACCTGCTCTAAGACAAAGAAACCAATACAAAGCTTTCTTCAGTCTATACCACCGTAGATATATTAGTCCCCCAAGTCTCTTAGCTGTTTATGCTGCAACACTTCACCGTGCCCACCCCACATCCCTGTCTAGAGGCTACCAAGCCAGCACCGGATTGGAACAGAGAGAAAACAAGCCAACAGCACCTAGCTAAAAACTACACTGAATTCTCCTCTGGACTATCTGAAACCCCTTCTTGAATGGCTTTCAAAGATTTCACCAGTTCATCAGTCCTTATATCTCTAGTTTGGTTTTTTCATTTCATCTGGTGGTCTTTCGTTTTCTCATGTGACATAACCGGAAATGGATTTCCTACACCCAGCCCTCTGCCTGGGTGAAGCAAAGCTGATAAGGCTTTGATTAAGCAGTACTGCCATTTGTTATGTGCTCTGAGAACTTTCAAATGGCACAATGTACAATGTAACATGATTAGAGTTGAAGAGGGTCCCTCCTCTATTCCACAGCTCTGTTTTGTTCAAAGAGCACAACCCTTAAGACCACCTGCAACATGTAGTATAAGGAAGCCATTCCTTACCCATTCTTCTTACCAGTCAACATGGAGGAAGCACACTGACTCCTTTTAATCAGCAGACACACAAAAAACTATTAGCTAAAACTGTTAAGGATCAAGACACCTTTATTTCAACCCATGATATCTAGTACTGTGTCCATTAAAGTGAGGGAAATGTGCAGCAAAGAACCACAAGCTTAGAAAGTGTCATCCCAAATGCAGAAGAAAATTCTTAATTCATCTAATCAATTGTTGTGTTAATGTAAGGATAGAAGAAATAAGTGTAGAGCAGTGGGTTGAGTTGGGTTGTACACTTACTGCGGGCATCATGAATCGAACAGGGAGTGAGGGAACAGTTCTTAAAGTGTGCAAGACAAGCTGTAAATCACACCCACCAGCTAATACCTCTGCATATCCCTAACACTACATTTATTATTATTTATTTATTATTATTTTTATTTTTTTTATTATGATTATTTTATTGATATGCCGCCTTTCTCCCCACAGGGGACCCAAAGCAACTCACAAGAACTAAAATCATACAATAGGAACAGTCATGCAAACATTTAACAATATCTAAATTTGAACGAACAGAACATTGCTTAAGAAGCAATCATGAATCCCTAGATATGCTGACTCATCCACAAGACTGAAAAGAGGACGGCAACGTATTCAGATAATGGTAGCGAGTCTGCAGAATAGTGAGTCAAAATTACTCTCATTTACTATGAATGAGGAATATGCAGGTGCACATAGTTTAGTCACTCCCAGCTTTAAGCAGGTAGGTAAAATAAACCAGATGTAGAAAGTCTGCTGTTTAGATCCAGGTTTGTTACTGCCCAAAATAATAATAATAAAAAACCCACCTGGCTTACTGCCTTGTTTGGGAGTAACAAACCAAGAGCCAAAAGAAGGATATGACATAAAACTTTGCATTTCTGGTTTGTTCCATACACAGGAAGCAAAACTGTATATATCAGCATGTTATTAGTAAATCTGGATAAGGCAGCAATTCCTTTGCCAATGAACAGTCAGTCAGTGTAATACCGTATTTTTCACTCCGTAAGATGTACCTCAGCATAAGATGCAGCTAATTTTTAGAGGAGGAAAACAGGAAAAAATATTCTGAACCAAATAGTGTAATAAAGTTGTATGGTATCTCTATAGGCAAAGTGGTCCACGTGAGGAGGTCTATTACTTTATATAATACATTTTGAATTATGTTCACTATTAATGGAGTGAAGTAGACACCCCAAGGCGCAATACATCAGTGTAAAGTATCTCTCTCTCTCTAAGTTGCCCAGGATGTCCTTTGTTTTGGTATGTAAAGGTAACATAAATCAACTAAGTTCAGCTTCCTTGGATGTATGCAAGCTGAAAGGTAAGCTGCTCATAGCTTGTGGAGGATGGACATGGTGGCATTTAAAATGAGTCTACAAGAAAGGTGAGCAACCCTGTGTTCTTCCAGATGTTTCTGGAGTGTAACAGATGGTCTAACAGATCTGGACGTATGTTACTCACTGCTGAAATCTAAAAACTCTATACTTCTTAAATACCTTAAATATGTTAATACTAATTTAATGAGAAACTGTACTGCATATCAATCCACTGTGATAGCTACCATAGTGGACTTCCAAAAGAAAAGTGCAGACTTTAAAGTGCTAACCCCCAAAAGTTCAGTTGAATTGTCACCTCTATACTGAAGTAGCCTCTGTCCACGTAGTCTCCCAGGAAGAGGTAGCGAGTGTTATTGGGTGATCCTCCAACTTCAAACAACTTCATCAGGTCAAAGAACTGCCCATGAATGTCACCACACACTAGAGGAGGAAGGGCAGCAAAAAATGGACAGGATTACATGCTAAGAGGAGAATGGTCACAGAAATAACAAAGAGCACAGTTTTGGCTCAGTCTAAATGGAGCCATTTTATTCAGCACCTGTACTCATTTCCAAACGATGAATATGCTTCTTCATTTTGAAAACCTAAGGGTTTTCTCATCTCATGTAAGCTCCAGTAGAAAGAAAATGCAACCAGAAACTTGTTGGTTGGGGCAGCCAGTCATTCTAGACAAGATTCAGGAGGCTACAAGGCAAACCAGAAAACACTCTCTGACCTGTGATTGGAGCCTCCACTTCTATCATGGTCTTCTCATGCCGCAGAATGGCAGCTCCATCGTTGATTATCTTCAGCGCTGCATCTTCTTCCAGGCGCCCTTCCTTCACCAAGTGGTTTTTTAAGACCTCCAACCTGGGCTTCCCATCTTCAAAAACTTCTTTCAGAGTTAGCCGCTGTGTAGGGGGGAAAGGGACAGCTGCGGAGACAAAGAACAAAGGAAAGAAAAGGCATGTAAGGGTTCCCTGACAAAATAGCAGCCTTTATGATCCTATTTCAATATTAATTACTTCATTCTGAGCATTAATAGAGTATGTTGAGGAAATGTTAAGGCTCATGCTCAAACTATTTAGATCTCAGTAAATCCTAAGAAAGCAGAACTTCTTCAACAGTAATAAATGTGTGCTGTTAAATCAATTCTGACTTATGACAACCTTTTCCAGGGTTTTCTGGGTAGAGAATAGACAGAAGAGAACAGAGACAGAAGAATAGACAGAAGTGAATTCTCTTATTCTGGGGGCATCCTGGGACTGTGCAGCTTGCCCATGACTAGACAGGCTGGTTCTTCTCCTGGGAGGCACAGTGAGGAATCAAACTCCCAACTTCTGGCTCTGCAGCCAGATACCTAAACTACTGAGCTATCCAGCCATGCCAATATGAAATGTAAGAGGAGTATAATCAAGACTGCAGAATTAATTTCAAGAGCAGCCAGACAATGCAGGAATCCAAATCCTTTAAACAAATAGATGACATCTTTGTGCAGATGTCTTGTACAAAACTGTAAATTCATCAAATTCATAATACTAACATCATAGTTATTTGCATCACCTATCTGCCTTCACCTTTTAAATTTTTTTACTTTTATATAATTTACTTGATGTAGATTTCTGTTCTTCAAAAATAATTTTTGTTAGCACAGCTTTTCAAAATGCTCAAAAATCACCACCAAACTACAATCACTAAGAAATAGAAAATATACAAAGTAACAATAGACAAGAGTAGTCAATAAGTACCTTCCTGTTTCCATTTAAGATCTGGAGTATAAACGTGCTTTCTGTTCTTTTAACTGAATATGATCACTAAATTCTTAATTGACCTAAATAGGCAAGCTCTCAGGCCTTGATTAAGTTGGAACCAATGCAGAATTCATATTATATAATTTCCTTAGCGAATGCTTGCTCTGTAGAAGATGACAGAAATTATTTCATCAGCCTCCTCTGCTTGCTTCAGCCTTGCAGAGAATCCAAAAAGGGAAGTCATGCAAATATTACTATAGTAGGCGCTTCAGAGGAAGCTGTGGAGACAACAAAGCAGCCTTCTTTCCACAATATGGGTTGAAAAATATAATCCTTACCTTTCAACCCCTGCAAGGGTCAACCTGATCATTTTTAACCTTCTGTCTGGATAAATTTGTGCACCACTAGTCTGCGAAAAGTACTTGATAAACAACTGTATCTCAGTAATTCTTACAATAACTCTCTGAGCAAGGAAAGTATCATTCTCAATTTGGAGCAGGGGAGCAGAGAGAGAAGGACGAAAGATGGTTGGATAAAGTCCAGCCAGAAATGTCACCACATCTGTGGGAAAATCTGAATGGGGGTGAGGAGGCTTTGGCACCCCATAATCTTAAAAACATATTAAAATTCATTTTTAATTAACTACTCAACAGGTAAAAACAAATGGGGGCAGTTTATAATCTTAAAATCCTAATTATATATTCTACATATGTGTTACAATAACCTGCACAAATCGCCCTTCCTTTTCTTATTCAGTTCCAGAAGTGGGGAGATCAGGGATTTGGTATTTTTAAAGAACTGTATTGAAATGCTGACTTATTTTTAATAACAAGAACAAGAACAAGAAATCATATAATCTAGTTAGGCACGTCGTTCACATACGCACACATGCATGTCACAAATACACCTGTTTCACAGAGGATGGAGAAGACAGGTAAGAATAAGCCTAAGGTAGATCTTTGTCTCCTAAGTAATGTTTCAAGGGGGAAGCCATTGCTTATCCTGTAGCTTAAAGAATGGGGGGGGGGAGCTCAAAAGAAGCATTGCTGAGTGCACATATCCTCATTTCTCTGACCCCTTTAATTTAACTCTACAGAGCAGCTGTCCAGGGTCTCACAACTGCAAGCTGCTCTCTTCTGTCAACATTCCTTCACAACATCAGACAGCACTCACTGCAAAGATTCAGGCTAGTGTTATGTTTTCTGCAAATGTGTACTCCTGCTCAGGGGAGGGGAGTGATCTATTATCGTATTTCCCCAAAAATAAGACCTAACCTGAAAATAAGCCCTAGCATGATTTTTCAGGATGCTCGTAATATACGCCGTACTCCAAAAATAAGCCTCAGTTAAGTGAAACCCCACCCTCCACCACTGTGCAGCACTGTGCAGCCATCGGAAGAAGCTGGCATGACTATAAAATAAAACATCCCCTGAAAATAAGCCCTAATGCATTTTGGAGCATTATAATTTATTAATCATAAAAATTAATATAAGACCCTCTCTTATTTTCGGGAAAACACAGTACTGGCAGGGACCCACTTCTATTTACACTCTCCTGCTTACTACAAAAAAGAGCATCTGCACACAACATACCATCTTAACTAATAAATGGAATAATAAATAAACAACCGCCTACATCTCCTTCTTTTAACTAAAACTAGAAAGTGGGGGGAAAAGTACAACTCTTATTCCTCCCACAACCCTCGTGCCAAAAGCTGAAGAAAACTGTTGAAAAGACAGACAGATGGCATGTGTATCTATATAATACAAGGCTTAAATTTTATCCTCCAATTCTGTGATTAGAATGGAATATCTAAATGTACAAACATATAAATATAACAAAATATTATTTTGTACGGTATACTAAATGCTTTACTAGAAAAATAAAATAAAATAATCATTTAAATGATATTAATCTCATCGGCGTTTCTTGTACGTACATACACATTCCAGTTCAATTTTTTTTTTCCAAACTTGGCTTTTAGATTGTTTTAAAAATCAGTGGCCGAGGATCTGACAACCTTGTGTTCTTCCCACAACTATTCTAACACATTTTATTGTGAATGATGATGTATGTTTTGAAATACAACACCAATGAATCTCATTCATATGATATTGATCTTTCCACCCCCTTCTTGCTTCCAAGGTTACCTATAACTTTTTTTTCTGATTATGTTACTGGTTTTTAACTGTCATTTGAGTTTAATATTTCTGAGGGTCTAAAATCAGGGATTGCAAAATAAAATGCCCAAAGTTGTTTCTGCAGCTTCCAACAGCAGTTCTTTAAAGACTCCAGGAATGCACATTAACATTTTAAACAGGCTGCACATACCCTGTACCAGTTAATATCATAAAATACATTTGAAACCAAAAGTAGAATTCTAGCCAGTATTAGATTGATTTTTTGTAACTTCTACCACTTTTATAGCCTGTGCAGCTCCCTGGGGCATCCTAAGCAGAAAAGTGGCCCCTTGGCTTGCTAAAGTTACCTACCCCAGGTTTAAATGTTTATAATGCTAGTTTATAGCGCTGGTCTCTTTTTCATTGCTTTAAAAAATTATACCATTATGGCAGCTAACCTTCCCATGGGAATTCACTCTTGGTTAAGAATGTTTTTCTTTTTCCATGCCAAATCCACAAGCCATTTCTACATTTAGCCTTAACACCAATTCATGGTTTGTATGCATATAGTAATGTTAGAAAGTTGAGGTTATTGCTTATAACAGCCTTCTCCAAGTTCTGTAACTCCAAAAATTCCAGCCAACCAAAAGCAAGGGAGTTATAAGTCAACATATTTGATGAGCACCATGAAACTGAAAACTGACAGAACTTATTCAGGATGGGAGTACACAGAACAGAGGAAACTAAAATTTTATGGAGGTACTGTAATGGGAATACAGCATCTCAGGGAGAGCTCAGGATTTTTCTGTTCTTTGACAATGTCACATGTAAGGGGAAATGCATCACAAAAGAAGGGCAAACAGTTTATAGAGGATGATTTTGAGGTAAAAAAAGAGAGTGAAATAGGAAAGTAAACTGTTTTTGTAAGCACCAGTCTTCTGCCTAAATGCAGGTAGCCCAAGCACTTTCTTTTCAAAGGAAGCAACAAGAAAGAATTCTATGTGACATTCAGTTTGAGCCTGAAGGTCTTTCATAATACAGATATTTCTTTTTTCACCGATATTCTAAGTTATAGTCTGCCATTTAAAGGCCATCTACATTTTGAACAAGTTTGGAACTTACTAAAAAAAATGAAGGGTTGAAATGAAGGAATTAAGAGAAAAAAATCATCAAGTGTGTGGCCGTCTCACTGGAGAAGGCCAAGATCATCCACACTATCGTCTTTCCAGTCACCACGGATGGGTATGAAAGCTCAATAGGAAAAAAAGCTGATTGGGAAAAAAGTGATTAGTTTAAATGTGGTGCGCAAGAAGAGCTTTGCAGATACTCTGGACTGTCAGAAAGACAAACACATGGGTCCTAGAGCAAATCAAGCCTGAACTCTCTCAGGAAGCAAAAATGTTGAAATTGAGGCTGTCCTACTTTTGGCACATCAAGAAAAGACAGGATTCTCTGGAAAAGACAATAATGCTGGGAAAGGTGGAAGGCAGCAGGAAAAGAGGAAGACCATATAAGTGAGGAACTGACTAAAGGAACCATTTAGGCTTGAGTTTACAAGAGCAGTTAAGGACAGGACATTTTGCAGATTGTTGATTCATGGGGTCACACATAACAGCAATAAAAAAATAATAGTATCCACCTTGCTCTGCAGTGAAACTATTACCAAGTCCTCTTTCAAGTTTGACTGGGGAGTGATGTCTCAAAAATACACAAAACCCGTAGTAATACAGAATAAGCATCTGGATGGCAAACATGAGATGCTAAATGGATTTGAACTGTGAGCTAGTATTTACGTATAGAACTTTTTATATGGGAAATAGTTTTTATTTCCATTCCTTCTCACGACAGTCCCATGAAGCAGGTTAGTATGAGTCTATGGCCTACTCTAGTCACGATTTACTATGCTAAACAACTAGATTTCAGTCTGCATCCCTGCCAATGAGTTCTATCAATACATTTTCTTAATGCCACACATCCCCATTCCCTTTTCTATTCACCAAAACAAGACATTTGTTAAACATCAGGGAGACATGAATTAGGTTAAAACACTTTCTTACAATCTC